CGCAATGTCCTTCATGAACTTGTTCTAATACACGCCTCGTTTGATGTGGCCCGAGGCATTTGGCGAGGGGGCCACCGAACGTTCTTTTGTACAAATCTTGATTTACTAGGCTGTACCGGGCAACTTGCGCTTGGAGTTTCTTGGCTTCTTTTTTGTCGAATGGGAGCGTTCTATCCTGTAGGTAGGACACAAACTGGTTGCGCTAGTCCCAAGTTAAATTTAAGAAAAATACCTCGGCGTGGTCGATGGCTGAATGAAGGAGGGTGACCACGTTTTCTTTGTTGATATTTTTGGTGGCTGCGGCCAGTTTGGCTAGGCTGTCTACTTCGGTTTTTTGTGCTCTGGGGATTTGTTCGAAGAGACATTCGTCGAACTCAGGCATCAGCTTATGAATTTCTGACTGATATTTCTGCATTCTTTGTTCTTTGGTTTGGTAAGTCTTAGTGACTTGATTCACGACGAGTTGAGAGTCGCAGTGGAGGATGAGTCGACGGGCTCCGTATTTGATGGTTAATTTCATGCCTGCAATCACAGCCTCATACTCGCCTTCATTGTTAGTCATCTCCGGGCATCGTGTGGACTGGCGAATCACTTCGCCCGTGGGGACTTCGAGGACGAGTCCTAGTCCCGAGCCCAAGGCATTCGCAGAGGCCAGAAACTTTCCCGAGGCCACGCCGAAGGCGCATTTTTCCGGGTTCAACTTTATCCCGTACTGCCTTAGTATCTCGAAGGCCTGCTTCAGGTGACCAATGTGATCCTCCTTCTTTGTCGACTTTACGAGCATGTCGTCATGTAGACTTCCATAGTTTTTCCGAGCTGTTCTTTGAATATCTTGGTGACCAGCCTCTGATCTGTTGCGCCCGCGTTTTTCAGCCCGAAGGGCATCACCTTGCAGTAGTATGTCCCTTGGTGGGTGATGAAGGCTGTCTTTTCTTGGTCCTCTTCTGCCATCAGGATCTGGTTGTAACCGGAATAGGCATCTAAAAATCTTAGCAGCTCGTGCCCCGCTGTTGCGTCTATTAGCTGATCGATGTGGGGCAACGAAAAAAAGTCTTTCAGGCATTCTTTGTTTAAGTCGGTGAAATCCACGTGCATCCTCCACTTCCCACTTTTCTTCTTTACCATGACCACGTTGGCGACCCATTTAGGGTATTTCGATTCTCTAACGGAACCGTTGGCCAGTAGCTTATCCACTTCTTCGCTGACTGCCTCGTTGATTGAGGTGTTGAATTTTCTCCTTATTTGCCGCACGGGCGGATAGAGTGGGTTGACGTTCAATTTTTGGACGGCGATGTCCTTCGGGATCCCTGGCATATCTGAATAGGAGAAGGCAAATAAGTTTGCATGGTTAGTTAGGAACTCGTGGTACTTACATGGGTCGGAGAGGTTGTGCCCGATATAGGCCTTCTTCGAACTATCGGTGCCGTCCAGCTAGACCAGATCAAGGTCTTTGACTGTCGCCTTGCAGGCCTCTACGACATCTGGGTCCCAGACGCCCTCTATTGTCGGGTTAACCCTAGTCCCCTTCATGGCTGATTGCTATGCTTCCGCGCTTGCTCCTTTCAGTTGTTTGGTGTGTGTGCAATATTGGGCAATCCGGTAACACTCCTGGGCGGTGCGTGGTTTGCCACGTATGCTGAATACTCCCCATGGGTGGGCAACTTGATTACCTAGTAGAGACTTGAGGGGATGGTTCTCATGGCGTGTATCCATGGGCGCCTTGTGATGACGTTGTAAGCTGTGTCCTCGTTCATGACGTGGAACGTGGTTTCCAGGGTGACTCCTCCTGCTAAGACAGACAACGATATTTCTCCGGAGGTTCGCTCTGCTGCATTGTTGAAACCTGTTAGTGTTATGCAACACGATATCACCTTATCCTCGAGTCTCATTTGCGTGAGGACCCTCGGGTGGATAATACACGCGCCGCTTCCGTCATCTACCATGATTCTTTTTACGTCAGTGTCAGCAATGCGTAAAGTTATAACTAGAGCATCGTAGTGAGGAAAGGACAAACTGTTGGCATCAGACTTATCGAAGGTGATACTGTCTTCGAAGTCATCATACCGTTCGTGGGCAATCGTGCGCTTTAATTTGTGTGTGGTGGTGAATTTTACATGGTTGATTGCCGAGTCATCGCCGCCACCGACGATCATTTGTATGGTGCGTGCCGGAGAAGGCGGCCTTGGTGGCCCTTGGGATTGATCGCATCTTCTGGCGAAATTGGCTCTTCCTTTATCGCTGAGTAGCTCCTTCAAGTATCCCTGATTCAGCATTCTGACTACTTCCTGTCGTAGTCCTATGAAGTTTTCTGTCTTATGTCCCCTTTCCTGGTGGAACTCGCATAGGACGTTCGACTTCGGATCTGATTTCATTTTCTGCGGCCATTGCACCTTTGTGCCCAGCTTTTCCAGTGCGTACACTATTTCTGAAGGTGAGACACAAAAGTTGTGAGTAGATAATAATGGAGGCATACCTCTTTCATTCCGGAGTGGGGCGACGTGTCGCTGTAAGGCGACTGGATGACTTGGCGGAGGTGGATTGGGAGCTCTGACGTAGGGTTGATGCCTTTCTCTGGTGAACCGGGGGAGTGGATCCCGTCGCCCGTCATTACGCCGCTCCCTCCTGATTTCTGACTGTACTGACGTCAACCGCTGGGTCGGGCCGTTAAGGTCATCTTCGTCTGCCCTTACCTCTGCGCAGTAGGCGTTGTGGATCTCCTCCCATGTAGTGGGGGGATACTTTATGAGTCGACTGAGCAGCTTTTGACCCGTCTCTGTCTAGCCCGTTCTGAAAAGCGGCGACCGCTATCCCTTCTGATACGTTTGGCAGGCCCATCTTTATTTTGTTGAATCGTGCCAGGAAGTCCCTGAGTCCTTCGCTCGTTGTCTGTCTGATTGCAAAGATATCATTGACTCTCGCTTCAGCCTTCTTTGCTCCCGCGTGGGCGGTGGCGAACTTATCCGCAATTTCTTCGAACGTTGATATTGCTATGGCTGGTAGCTGAGAGTACCATGTCAACGCCCCTCCTGTTAAAGTTTCACCGAACTTCTTTAATAATACGGATGGCACCTATTCTTTTGTTAGGTCGTTACCTTTCATAGCTGTTACATAATGGACCAGGTGATCTTCCGGGTATGTGGTCCCGTCATATTTTCTCAGGTATGGGGGCATCTTGAAGGTTTTAGGGATCGAATGAGGATCAGCTTCTTCGCTGTACGGTTGCTCGACAAACCTTCCTACGTCGCGTTTTGGCAGCAGTTTAGGAGCTCCGGGTATCTTGTCTACCCTTTCCTGGTGCTCCTTCATTTGATCACGAAGCGTTTTGTTCTCGTTCTCCATTTCTTCCATTTTCCTGAGGATGGTCGCGAGTGCATTTTCGTCCGTGTTGATTTCGGTGCGAGCGCTGCTTGCTCGCATAACGTTTGGTCCATCGATGGCAGCCGCGATTTCTGTCGTTGATGAGTCTTTTGGATTTCCTTGAGGTGGTTTCTCGAGCATGACACTTAGGGTGTTTGTCATCCATTCCTCCAGTAACTTCTTAACTACTAGGGGTGTTTCTTTCACTGCGGACGTTGAAGCTTCTTTTTCTTGCAAGATCGTTAGATCTTTGAGCGAAGAGGGTGATAATCCCTCCTCCGGGACGCTGCTTGGTGTTGTGTTTGCGGCGATTTCTCTACCGGCCTCGTTGAGAGGGCCTATAAGGTTGGTCGAGACATCTGCTATCATTTTCAGCCTTGACTCTTTGTCTGCCATTTGTTAGCTCTACGGAGTTCGAGGTATAGAGATCTTTGTTCTTGATATCCTAAACGTGAACTATGACTTCGATTACCGAAATCCCACAGACGGCGCCAAATTATTTGACTCAAAAGTTAAACAATACTTTTCGAGCAAATCAATCAATATAGTTGATGAAACCCTAATCTCGTTCCCAAAATCCCTGGCCGTAGGTGATGAAACCACTGACTACATCTGAACATAACTGATACCTAAAACCAGTTTCATTTCTCCATAATAGGTACTCCCTCCATTTCATAGGTACTTTCCTTTTTAGTCTGTTCCAAAATAAATGACACATTTTTAAATTTGGAAATAATTCAACTTTAAACTCCTCATTTTACCCATTTTACCCCTAATGAGAAGCTTTTATAACCACACAAAAGTCATGGCCCCAAAAAGCTTTATCCCTTAAGCTTTTAAGACCACAAATTTCAAAAGTCTTTCTTTTTTTTCCTTAAACTTCGTGCCGAGACAAACTACCTCATTCAATGTGAAACAGAGGGAGTACAACAAAAGGTACATGAATAAAAGGCAAACAAGACTTAACACTAGCATATTCCAGTACAAATTGAACTACGACAATGATCAACACACTAGAGATATCATCAACATTCTTAAAGTTTGGAATTTCAAGCATCAGATGAAAATATGGATTTTAAGATATTAAAAAAAACTAACTAAATAAAGGAACTAAAATACGGCAAAGCTTTGAAGCTTTCTGGAGATGGAGATAGAGCAACCAAGGAATTATTTTGAAGAAATAATAAGGAAGGAGGTTGGGCATTCAAATAGAGCCTCATGTGCCTACTAGTTGAAGAAACTCATCCAATGTGACACGTTAGATTTTATGTTAAAATAAACATATTAAACGGTTTGAGTGTCAAAATGGAACGAGATTGAGATAGAATATCAAAATGAAAATTGATGCCAAATTAAAGAGGCTGTCTATGTATTTGGCCATTATTTTTGGAACAAGTGATGTTTTGATTAGTTTTTATTTTCTATTAGACCTTTTCTGGGATATCTTTGTGCTCGGAAATAATGCGTGAACACAAATAAAGGGTGTATATATTTTATATTGGAAATTCTTTTATGTAAGAAAATGTCCGTTTGTGTTTTCTGTTATATAACCGCAGGCTAGTTGCAATTTTGCTTAATAAGAGGTTTATTGGTTCGAGCTTTGTGAATAAAGTCGTCTTTAGTCGGAAGTATTTTAGCCTAACATGAGACACTCCGGCGCGAAGCCAATTAGTTGGACCAGAAATGGTACTTGTATGGGTCAAAATTCACCCTTAGAATATTCAGGTCAAGGACAACCAGCAAAGTCTTTTGAGGCAAAGAAGGGACTTAGACAGGGTGATCCACTGTCACCTGTACTGTTTGTAATGGCAATGGAGTACTTGAGCAGGCTGCTGAAATCTTTAAAGCTGAACAAAGAATTCAAATACCACCCTAAGTGTGCTAAAGTCAATTTAGTGCACTTAGATTTTGCTGACGATTTGTTACTTTTTTGCAGAGGGGATACACAGTCAGTAAAGCAACTACACCAACAATTCAAAATTTTCTCTGAAGCAATAAGGCTAATTGCAAATCCAAACAAGAGTAGCTGCATATACTTTGGAGGTGTGGATGTCATGACTCAAAAGAAGATTATGGATATGCTGGGCTATAGCAAGGGAGAACTACCCTTCAGATATCTGGGGTATCTTTGAGCACAAAGAAGTTATCAATAATTCAATGTGAGCCTCTAATTGATCGAATGCTAATCAGAATGCAATGCTGGACAATAAAGTTTCTGTCATATGCTGGGAGAGCAGTGTTAATAAAGAGCGTGCTGATTGCAATTCAAACCTTCTGGGCTCAGATCTTTGTTCTACCTAAGAAGATCGTACAATTCATTGACACAATATGTAGAAGATTCCTATGGACAGAAAATGCATTACCTACAAGGAAGGCACTGATTGCATGGGAAAAATTATGTTGTCCTAAAGTTGCAGGGTGCCTAAATTTTATCAATGTGGTGATATGGAACAAAGCAACTATATGCAAGCTTCTATGGAACATCTGTAAGCAGAAGGAAAAGCTCTGAATCCAATGGATTAATGCATATTACATAAAAGGAAAGACACTAGGGAACACAACACCAAAGAATGCATCATGGGTCATACATCAGATATTCGAGGAAAAATATACTTTGAAAATGCTAGCTATACAGAGGAGGAGGTGAAAAGGATGAAAAACTGCTCTATCAAACACATGTACAAAGCTATGTAAGGGGAGTTTCAGAAAGTATTATGGAGAAGATTAATATGCAACAACTATGGACTTCCAAAATAGATATTCATTCTGAGAGTTGCAATACAGGAAAGGTTGGACACAAAAGAAAGAGCAAGATGGGGACTAAGTATAGACACCACATGCACATTATGTCAAAAAGAGACTGAGACAGTACAACACTTATTTTTTGATTGTGAAATGAGAGGAACTATATGGCAACAACTCCTAAAATGGCAAGGAATTCAAAGAAAAAAGCTAGAATGGAGGGAAGATCTGGCATGTATAGAAAGAAGAGCTAAAGGCAGAAGTGGAGGGGCACAATTATGCCGAATGACATTAGTTGCCGCGGTATACCACATTTGGCAGGAAAAGAACAATGTTGTTTTCAAGCAGAAGAGAAGAACAATACCAGTCATAACCAGAATGATCATTCAGAAAATTCATGTTAGAGCTACCATGTTTCCTAGGTTAGAAAGGACTATGAATACTGTAAACTGGTATCATGGTCTAATGTAAAAGTGACAAAGGCTGAGAAGTAGAAGAGTAGGAAGATCCTGACTGGGGTTGCATGTGGGACTATAGAGAGCTAGAAAGCTCAATTATGTATAGTCTGTACATAATTTTACTTGGTAAATAAAGTCATTTAATTACCAAAAAAAATATTCAGGTCAAGATAACATTACAGGAAGAATTCTCAAATCGTCATTTATTAGAATAGCCCGAGAAGTCGCACATCCTTTGGTCGAGGAGTCATTGTGGATCGTAGTCAAGGCATCAACGAGGATCGAGGTCGAGGTCGAGTATCGACGATGTAGCTACAACGGCTAGCTTTAAAGATAGGATCATAAAAAGAATATTCCAGTGGATATTCTCTTTGTTTGTACTATTAGGATTTCTTTTGGGAATGTATCCCATATAAATAGAAAAAGAAACAGTGGTAGAGAGGCATGTGACATTTTTGTAAGAAAGGCATTTTGATAAAAAGAGAGTATGTTAACTCTCTTGAAAGCATGTGAGAGGCAAAATTTAAGTTTAACACTGATTAGTTTATGCAAGTGACAACTTTTAATTGAAAATTATTTTATTATTTGAAACTTAATTAATTATTAATATAACTTAGACTAATATTATTTTTTTGTTCTTTTTGTAAATCTAGTCCCTTTTTTCTTTTTCACCGACGACGAATCCGACTCGCCGGAGTCATCTCCACTAATATCGACAATAAAATTCGCCATTCTCCTGCAACTTTTTTTACATGAAGAAATCACTCTCCCTCGTTGCGAGCTTTCAAATAGTATATATGATTCACCGTCGTCACACCTGCGTCGATTCCTCCAGCGATCGGAGAACTGTAAAACAGATTATTCAAGAACAAAAATCTTCCCACACCATTGCTAAATAAATTACCAGATCCACTAAGGTTGAGATCCAATGATGACGAGTCTAACTACACCGCTGGCAGCGAGGTTTTCACCATTACCGGCGACGACACCCCAATGGTACCGCTCTGACTCGGACTACGATTTCCATTTACGAATTAACATTCTCTGGCTCTAAAATCGGAATTTTACTTTTGCCTGCGACCATGTGTACGAAACTAGAATATAATAAGAAAAAACAAAAGAAGAAGAAGAAAAAAAAGAAAAAGGAAAAAGAATTATTAGTTGGCAGTGCGTGCACAACACTCTCCATCAGGAATCTGGTTGTCCAATTTTAAATGTGTGTTTGTTACACTTTATAATAGTTTAGGAGGGTAATAACACCCCGCGAAGGTAAAATGTGTAGCTGAAAATCCGGGTATAGGACAAGGGGGTACTTATGCATTTTTCCTTGATTGAATCATTCCCCTTACCTACTTAAATGCCATTATGATAATTCATTGGATATTATATGCTACACCACTGTTCTTGATTTTTCAAAGTTTATCTCGTGGTGCCATTGCCATCCACATAAACGCTTATCAATTGTTGTTTCTAATATTAGGATCCACGGATATTATTATTAACTAGGATTAACATTCATATAAGTTTAATTATTTGAACCAAGATTTATATTTCGGAAAAGGTCCAAATATATCTCTGTACTATGAGAAAAGGTTTAAATATACTCTTCGTTATACTTTGGGTCCAAATCCCTACGTAATACTATTGGTTCAAATATACCCCTCTTATGTTAGATTTGTTAAAGGTGGACATTCAATCCTACGTGGCACTGATATTTTATGAGGTGAACGTCACATGGCATACCACCTCAGCGTCCCTAATCCATCTATAAAATACTAAAATTTGACATAGAATATTTTTCATGGTAGCGATACTGGTGGAGGAGAAGAAAATTTTAGTGTTGGAAAAAAAATAGAAGGGATAGGTAAAATGGGTTAGGGGCGCTGAGGTGGCGAGCCACGTGGTATCCACCTCATCAAATGTCAGTGCCACGTTGGATTGGATGTCTACTTTTGAGAACTTAACGAAAATGGGGTATATTTGAACCAATAGTATAACGACAAATGTATATTTAAACTCAAAATATAACAAGGGTACATTTAGACCTTTTCTGATAGTACAAGGGTATATTTAACCCTTTTCCGATTATATTTTTGGTCAACCAGTGCCGAATACATGTTGAAAAATTAAAATAAAAGTCGAAACCAAACCTAATTTAAAATAGAACGTATGATGACTCAAACATCTCAAATGGTGAAAACATTTTGAGCCATATGTATGGTTTCTTTTTTAGGTTCACATGGGTTACAATTTTACTAGTGGTGTTGTCTGGAAAAGTTTTCGGAAATGATTTTCCAAAATCCAAAAAATAATCATTTTAATAACATTATTTTCCGAAAAACACTTTGGAAAACATTTATGCTGGACCTAAAACTCCATCAAGTTTCCAAAAAAATAAAATATCATAAGGTAATCCATCTACGCAATCCAAATTTGTTTATTTTTTAAACTTTTTCAAAACCTATAAGCGTGTAGCTAGATTTTCTTGTCTTTTCTCTTTTCCCCTAAAATTATTTATAGAGTAGGAAAACTTGTAGACGGCTGATATTTACGCCAAACTACTAAATACTTGGCACATGTTATTTATTTGCGCAATTTCTTATCACGTAATCATAATTAAGTTTATTTTTGGATATAACGTTTATTATAATTTGTAAAAGTAATTTCTAAAATTATTATTCTTTTTAAGTTTTAGACTCCAAAGTAAATATAGTAGTATCATGTATCTTTTATAAAATTCGAACAACAACTTCAAATATTAGAACTTAAAATTGTAATAACTCATAATCAAAATAATGACAAATTCTATAATTAAATAGAAAATTCGTCGCTAATCCTGTTTAGCATTGAATTAATCATAAATTATCACAAAATTCAGTTAGCTACGAGTAATTTAACGACAAATTTGCGGAGAATGATCTCACTTCACATTTTCCCTCTTCATTAATATTACGGCATATGTAGGGTCCTCTAAATTCTCTCCATTGTTACACCAATTACTTTCTATAGTTAAAAAGGGACAAACAATAATATATCTCTTATCATTTTAGATTGTCTTAAATAATGTCAATTTTGATTGAAAAGAATTATAGTAAATGCTTCTACTGAGTTGAGCTGTTAAATATATATACTCTCCATATTTACAATCTTGTCATGCTAGAGCCAGCTCAAACCATATAAGGGACAACTTATAAACCAATTCCAAAGAAATTAAACCAAAACTTCCTCTTGTAAATTGTATTATTCATGTCTTCAAAAAGTCATTTTGTGATTGGATTTTGCTTTGTGATTTTATTTGGAAATGCAGCTTCAATTGATTATGGAATAGCCCTTACAAAATCTTTATTGTATTTTGAAGCTCAAAGATCAGGAAAATTGCCTCCTAACCAGCGTGTTCAATGGCGTGGAGATTCAGCACTAAACGATGGTAAAGACGCAGGGGTATATATCAAGCTCTCTAAAACTTTTTTCATTTTATATATTTTATACGGATATATGAATATAGCATATGCTATTCGCCTTGTACAAACTGAGACGAATCTAGGATTTCAGCGAGTTCGAAATATTTTTGTATATTACTAGTTTTTAGTGTACGTGCGTTGCACGTGTCTATCGTGTTAATCAATAAAAATATATACAAAAAGATTATTCTGCATGTACGTCATACACTTCTATAATCTAGGTAAACTAATCTTCTTAGGCCGTCAGCCAAACACTCCTAATTTAATCCCTTTTTTGAGTCTTATGTTTCTTCTCATCTCGAAAATTTTCATTTAGTTCTAACTTATGCATCACATGAGAAAGTAGGAACACTCTAAAAGAACTTATTCCACCTAATCTCTTTCTAAATATTATATTTATGGATTACATGATTATATATATAGATCATAGTATAAATATAACATTTCAAAATCATGTAAATAGAAAAGTTTAAAAAAAAAAAAAAGAGAAAAGGATTCTACGTTTTTGTTTGACAAAGTTGCCAAAAAATTACCCATAACAAAAGTAGAAGAGTTTCCTTTTGATGTATTGTCCTTTTTTATTTATGTATAGGAAACATTAAAATTTAAATAATTTGATTCCTTCTTGAAATATATATTTTTTTAATTATCTTAAGATTTTAGGAATTGAAAATATTTTAGTTCCTTCTCTATAACGTACTTTTCTCATTTATTTATGGTAGAAATTTTAGAAATGTATTTTTCACTTTTATAAATCAAGGTCCTAAATAGAAAAGTAATTAAATGAGTATTTCTAAATATTAGGAAAGTAAATTTAATGATTAATACTATATATAGGAAGATAATTA